TAAAAGATTTTTTATTTTTGGTACAACTTATCGAAGCAGAAAGCGGAACAAATGACTAAAGAACAGTGACTGAATGGAATTATTTATTGAACTTTCCATTATTTTTTGTCTTACAGACTGGGGGAGAACAGTGTGGGGGACTTGGTTGATATCTGAATGAAGTAATGTTGTACGTCATTTCGATTGATCTTTTCTTGAGCAGACTTGAAAGGGATATCTTTGATAGTTATAGTAATTGCCAATTAGACGTTGCGACCTCGTTAATCTTTGGCTTACACTTTCAATTTTTCAGGTTTGCAGTTCATAGCAAGATGACAGCTCTTACAAGTGTGTTTTCTAAATTCCATTAGTAGACACTGTATTGATATTTGTTCGTGTTTGGTTGAGCAAACGGTAAGCAAGAAAAATATAATTTTCTTTCGCATTTCCATATCATTCAAGTAAGCAAATTGGTTTTGAGTCAAACAATTTGCTTGGATTCTGGAATTTTTTCACTTCATTTTAGGTAATGAAGACAAAAACAAGTAACACAACCCTGTAAAAAAGGACGCCTTGTTGATGATAATCATGATCTGTGATGGAAATCATTGAAAAAATTTCAATTTATGATTCATTTCAATATCCTTGGACCACTAAATCAATGATTAATTACAAAAAAATGTATTATAAGCATAATCTGGCCTGACTAGGTATGATTACAATGTCACATTTTTTACAGTTGTGGTTAGTTTCATGCACCAGTAAGTACAATTATGAAAGAGACCACAAATAATGAACAGCAGAAAGTGCAAGCAATGAATGGAATATTCAGGGTGGATAGACAAACTGAAACAAATATATCCGTTATCACAAAAAGCATCAATTAGAAATCACAGAGATTCTAGGGTTTCCCATAGAAAATGGAATCTTTTTTTTTGTGGTTCCAAATTGAGGTAACATTCCTTATGCTTTCTCAGGGCACATGATTCTTGCACCTAATGATCATCTATCTGACGATGTGGGGAGTGGTCACAGATTATCGAAGCTTGGTTGCAGAAACGGACTGGCGTAACTTTTCAGATGAAATAATAATAACCGAAATAGTTTTTGTTAAAAAACCAATTCAAAATCTGAATTTGTTCAGCTGCTCACTTATTACTTAGTTGCAGTTCAAACTCATAATCGCACCCGTGCCCAAACAATAATTAGGATTATATTCGAACCATTCTCGAATATTCTAAAGCATTTCGGGAATGATTCCAGGGCACATATTATAACTGGAAGATAATAATACTCTTTACTGACGCAATGCATAGTTTTTCATTTTAAATCGACAGAAGTCAAATGCGGTGAACGAGCAGGTCATTCCAACGGACCCCCCTACCAATCCACATACCTGGGTATGTCTGATCCAACTAATCCCTTACAGGATAATGAAATTGGGGGCACACCATCTTGTTGGAAAACAACTGGATTCTCGAGTTCGTTTTGATTGTCGGACACAATTTCTTGAATCCGTGGGTGAATGAGGTTCTGAAGTAACTCCAGAGATGATTTAACAATCAGATTTTCTTCTAGATTTATTTAAAGTTGATTTCTTTTGCCTTTTTTGTTGTGTATGATTTGGAGCTGACCTGGTCTGGGGGCTTCAATTTTCGAATATAGTCAACATCGTTTCATTTATCAACATCGGAAACTCAACAGTTTCAATCTCCTTTTGGTTACAAAGTTACGAATTATCATTTTTGCCAATCTCCAATTCATACACCAATAACTTTGCAACCGTTTATTAAAATTTAATTCAACAGTGGCGGTCCTTGTTTAGAGAATTGAAATGTGTTTCGACTCAAAAAGAATGCTCAGGATGTGGAGTTTACTCCAGATCACTGAGCATAAGGATTAAGTGGGGAATGAAAAAAAAAAACAACGTGGTTCAAACAGAACTGGCTGGTACCTCAATCACCACAAAAGAAATAACCAGGAAAGGATTTTTTGGCGAAAACATAAAGATCTGCACTAATAGTAGACAAGCCCTATTAGCCTAGAACAGACAACGTGTTACCTCAGGGCTAGTACTAGAGTGCCATCAAGATTTAGCCAAAGCCTCGGTAGATAATAATATCATCCTGAGGTGGTTTAAAGAGCACGACAGGAGTAAAGGTAATCGCATGGCCGACTCTTTAGCTAAGGAAGCGGCTGGACTAAGAATTTCAGGACCCAGTGGCACCTTCGGCCTCATGACTTCGGCAATTTCAGAACTAGCCAAATGTCACACCCATGCTCAATCCCTAAAGAGGTGGGATGGAATCAAAGGATGCAGTCTTGCCAAGATCACCCTGGGTGACCCTGGGAAGCTGGCGCTGAAGCAATATCTGGCGATGACCAAGAAAACCTACGCTTAACAGTAGGATTTCTGACTGGCTACTGTCAACTAAGGAAACACCTCCATAATATGGGGCTAGTGGACACACCTCTATGCAGGATGTGTGATCATGATGATGAGACTGTCAGGCATGTCCTGTGCGAGTGCCCGGAGTTATCGTCAATAAGAGAGTGTGTGTTCGGCGAGTCTGGGCCTACACCTGCCGATATAAAGAAGAGGTCTTCTAGTGACCTGTCCAACTTCCTGGAAAGGACAGGATGGAGACTCACCCTCCGTACTCTACAGATACAGAAAAGTTGGCAGCGCTCTCTCTGCGACGAGTGACGTCAAACATAGGTTTTTTATAAAAAATAAGTGATTCCTCTTCATAGAAATTGTATGACTTGCCCCGTTCGAAAGTTGAGAGGAGGAGCACTGTTTACATCCACGCTGTATGTTAATTTATTAGAGGATTGTGTATTATTTTCATCGTTGTCGCTGCTTTCTCTACAAAAGTTATTTTCTTCATAGCAATAATGCATATTTCTTCTTCTCCCTTTATACCCGTTCCTCATACAAGCCCAAAATAAAAGGTCACAGATAAAACCTTTCCATTTTCTCCGACAACCAGGCGGCAATATAGGCGCTCAGCTCATTTCAAATCTTCTCAAGACTGGTGGGAAGCTGTCTGAGCACACTCAAGGAGCTAGGTACCCAAAATAGGGTATCTGTAGCTTGGGTACTCGGAGGAGGGTCACAAGGGCAATGAGGAGGCCGATGTTCTAGCCCGTGATCGGCCCAAAACCCTTCTGCAAGCCGAATCGATAGATTGGTGGAATAAGCTCCCAGGATTGAGGCAGTCGAAAGAGTTGTTAAAGAAACCATCGCTCAGATTCACAGAAGACCTGCTAAACCACAACAGTAAGGTTGTAAGGGTAGTGGTGGGTCTACTAACGGGGCATAGCCGATTCAGGTAATATATGTGCAATATGGGTCTGACCGAAGAAACCCAATACAGGTTCTGTCAAGAAGAGGAAGAAACCGCACTGCATGTGCTCTGTGAATGCGAAGCTATAGCAAGGCTGAGACATGCAACATGCGGGGAAGAGAGGAAGAGAAACCAGAGGCTGACAGCTATATGAAGGGGTCAGTGTCAAGGCTATGGAGTCTCATTAAAGAGATCAAGCTAGACAATGAGCTCTAAAAACCAAGGAGCATCACAATGGATCTGAAAAGCTCGCAGTGAATCAGGCCAGGAGCTAGCTCTCCGATAATCTAACCTAAATACTCGTTTTCCATACAAGCCCAAAATAAACACAGCTTATAGAGTGTTCAAAAGGATTCGTTATCAAAATCTGCAGTTTGCAATTGTTTACAAGTGACTCCACCTGCGCTCAGACATTATTATCTTATTACAACCCTCCCCGATGTTCACATGAATGGCGCTTGTTTCTCTTTTGACGAAACTTGCCTTGGAGTTGCAAATAGAATACAGATGCCGTCGTCAACCTAATTATCTCTCTACGACCCGTTCGGACCGTTGATTATGTACATTTTTCCGAATGTACTTCAAAAGCAACTTGATTAAAGTCGACGAACGCTAATTAAACGGTGCTTAATAAGGCTCGTGGCCCGTATTGAGGGCGAAATTACGGCTCATCGGAGAGCAATTCCAGAAACTCCATTTATGCGCCTTATTGAAGCTGCTAAACAGGTTGCGAGTCAATTACTCAAGATGGAGTGAATTGTCGGGACGTAAAGCGAGAAAGGAAAGTGGTTCTCTCTGCCAGTACGGGCGATAAGCTCAATTGAATGGATTCTGAGGGAGAGGCACAAACCCTGATGGATTCCGAAGGAAAATTGAGCAGGGGTAGAATGAAAAACCTACAGGAAAAGTTAATATGTTTCGAACATGGTGAAGTAATGTACATAATGAAGAAAAACATTTTCTGTAGAGAAATAGTATTTGTTGGTGTTTATTTTTCAGATTGTGTAAGGCTATAAACACCTAAAAAGTAGTTGGAAACATTGAATAAATAGTTATTGATAGTAATATCAAGTTGATACGGTAATCAAGCAACCTTTAAGCCCCTTCTGTTGATATACCAGATAAAAAAATCATTATTTAAGACGCACTTCAGAGCAGACCAGAAATTTGACATTCGAAATGAAGTGTATTAAAATGAAGCAGATATTTTCAAAAACAATGAAACAATTGAATTTATCCTCTTGTTTAACGGGAACTTGACTCAAATTAAGAATTATGAAATGTCCGCAGATATGTTTCTATGTAAACTATCCGGTGGAAAACGAAATTATCTTTTTTCGATGAAAAATAATGAGTTTAGTTTCCTTTGAATTAACAGACAGAACGTGATTGAAACCATTGTTCAAATTTCTTGAAATCCTCATTAATATTGTTTTTTCCAAAACCATTAGCTTTTTATTTGAAAATAAAATCAGATATTTTGAATGTACAATGAATATGGAATTGGACCCAAACATGATCCCTGAGGAACGCTCTTATTCATCAAAGATCTGTCGGATTTCACTTCATTCATCTGCAGAATATGAGTTAGAAAAATCATTCACTTTCCTTCTAATACCCATTGCCTCAATATTTTCAGAAGAATTGTATGATCAACAGAGTTGAATGCCTTCTTCAGATCCACAAAGGCAGCTACTACTTATTTTCCTTATCAGATTAACATGAGTGAAATCAATCGACATCAGTATACCCCTTTTTTTTTTAAACAATATTGGTTTGGAAAAATGCATGCATTTTATTGATGAAATCAACTCTTTCTTTTCAAATTTTTGTTCCAAAATTTCGGAAAATATATTAAATTATTCTATTGGGCTGTGATTTTCGAGATCATCAGCCTTTTCATTTTTAAATATTTGTGTCACTGATACATGATTCGAATCACTGGAAAAAATACTTTTATGGAGTATTCATTATTCAATTTACTTATCAGTTCAACCAATATATTTCTGAATATGAAAATGCCTTTGGTAACATGTTTTTTAGGAGTGCCTATAACTTCTAGATTTTTTTTTTCTTTTTCAGTTCATCAGTGATAATTTTCCCGTACACTCGTAATACCTTTACCAAAAACTTAGGTAATGTTTCGAAATATTAAAAAAATAAATACATTTTTGTGCAACTTAAAGGTTTGTATGTATCGGAATTCGAATGAATACATAAAAAATCCGTGTAACATCGAAAAACTCACCTTTATCCGGCGGTTCCGGGGGAATTCCAGCCTCTAGGACAGCAAACCTACCCGATCTAGGTTTCCTTGAGTTTACGCTGCAGGTAACACTCGGCAATCCCTTTATCAGGCGATTCTGAAAAACAAAAATCAATAAATAAAGGCATATCTCATGAATACATTCAATTGTCCAAAAGCCAAAAATTCTCTGTAAAATCTAAATAAAAATCATATTTTCAGTAAATTTATTGTTCAGCAGTTTGTGGGTTGGTAATAAACCTATTTATATCAGTGAATCAACAACCACTTGTCTTAATTATAAGCTGTCATTCAAAATGAATGTGTTGCCTCACTAGATATTACCGAGCAAGCAAATATTGCGATGAATAATTTGCTGCCAGCAAAATCAAGAGAAAACTACGAATATAATTTCGAAAGTTTTATGAGTTGGGTAGAGAAGAAAAGCATATCTTCGTATTTCGAAGACGTTCTTCTCGTTTATTTCGAAGATTTAGCAAAAATTTTGAAACTACCGTCATATGGATGATTTACTCCATGCTGAGAAATACCCTGGATATCAAAAAAAAATGTTGACATCAGTAAATATTCTAAATTACATGCCTCTCTGAAACGTGTACTATATCTGAGAGGGACTACTTTGAGAGAAAGAGAGAGTATATGTTTATTATTCAAGATACATGTGGTAAAAAGAGAACATGTAAATAACTACATTCAGATGAATTTACAATTACATAAGTACATGAAAATAATACATATAAATAATCACATCTAGGTAAAAGTACACATATATTATTACATATAAGCACCGTCAATTTCATATCGTTGCGTCATTAAAATATTGTATCAGACTGTAATAGGCTTTAGATGCCAGTCTTTCATGTAACTTTCTCCCAAAAGTTTCAAGAGAATCCATGTTCTTTATCTCTTCAGGAAGTTTATTATACATTTTGACACCGACATACATTATTGGATCTTTGATGAGCGTGGATTGTTATTTTCATATAAATATTTTTTCTTGCAGATGAGACATGTAGCTTCTAAAACGCAGATTGAGGTTATTGTTAGTATTCCGTGTTTCAGTAAAAGAGGTTTGCAAGAACTCAACCTATTTACTTGGCACAAATACCGCACCGCTCGAACCACAGAACTGGATTGCGTATCTCAAGTTTGACTCAATGAGAGCAAAAGAGACATTTTTTGCCGCAGCATAACCTAACTCTTTAGAGACCTGAGGGTAAAACATTTAAATGTGAGAAATTTGGTTTTATAGAAATTTAAACATAGAAAATTCTTGTAACATTTTTTTTGAAGCAAATTCATATCTTCGAAGTGCCATAGAATGGAAGTGGCAAATAAAGTGAAGGAACCAGATATATCTAAGAGAGAAAGATCATTTATATACAGAAGAAATATATATGTACCTAAAACTGGTCCTTGAGGTACTCCTCAACTAACTTTTAGTAATCCGGATGTATAGTCAATTTTAACCAGTTGGTTTCGTCCTGTCAAATATGATTCTATCCACTTCAGAGCCATGTCTCTTATACCATAGTGAGAGAGTTTCTGCAGTAATAATACAGAAAGGAATAAAATATAAATTGATGAATAAAGAAATATGTTTTGAAAAAAATCAAATTTACCGTCTTTTTTGATCAGATCTCGTATATAAAAATGTAATTTTATACTTTTGAATTAATTTCTTATCGAAATCGATTAATTTTTCCTCTTATTTATTTTTATTATTCAGGACTATAGCCTGAAAGAGTTAAAGATCCACCTATACTTCCACTTTCTATCTATTCCCGAAGCTAGAATATATACTAACATACATAGCTTTTGCTAGGTATTACATCAACCCTGTATTTTAGTCATTTTCGATAAAAGATTTTTTATTTTTGGTACAGGAGTAGACATTCATGAACCGGAGTTTTCGCAATACTTAGCCGGGGTGACAGCCTTACACCCAGCTTACTGAGAAAAGGGCAAATTCTCGATATTTTGCGTCGCGCTAGAGATACTGAAATAAGTTATTTGAAAAAGTTGCCCAGAAATCGATTTTGACCCTACATACCAAATTTTATCCCAAAATTCGAAATTTTATTTTTTTTATATTTTATATTCAAGTCTGATTTTCAATTAACGGTTCCGAATGAGAAGCTATAGAAATGATAAAATAGTCAAAATTAATGTATTCAAAATGTATATTGAGTTTTTCACTCCTATTCCTACATTATAACGAATTTATTATATTCATAGAGCCATTATTTAGATCCACTGATTGAAAATTGGACGAATATGAAATTCGAATTTTTTGCGTTGAAATTCGGTATACAGGCTCAAAATCGATTTCCAAGCATTTTTTTCAAATCATCAACGCGAAGCAAAATATCGAGAATTTGCCTTTTTCGGAGAAAAAGGATGTCACTTGGGATAAGTATCACGAAAAGTGCGACACATGAAGGTCCACGCCTGCACCAAAAATCAATTATCTGCTTTCAAAAATGACTAAAATACCTAAGTGTCTTCATCCTAAATGTGTCACACTATAATCAAAACAGGAATGATGCAGAGAAGATCAGTATGGCTCTTGATACGCATGACACGCAGAATCTTGTAATGTTCCACATTTTTGCCCTCTCAACCAGATTCCAAGTCAAGGATTCACAAAACTGGGGTTTAGTCTGAGTCACAAAATCCATTTTTTGGAACTTCTTTCCAAGGGCATCGAAAAAAANTTTACACAGATTTAATCTTTGAACGTCATGTACAGTCCAATGCTAAGGATGAACACTTTGTAGTGGTCCAAGAAGTAATTGCGGAATATAAATATTTGTTGACCCTTTCCAAAGTTCCTGAGTCCTCAAAAATGTTGACCCTCGAAAGAACTTGAAACAATAATAAATATTATTACTTTAGAAACGACTATGAAGAAAACTCTATGAAACACTCATTCATCAGACGATGGCAGACAAGCAAGCAACTCCCATTTGATTTATCTTGACACAAGGTTCACCTTCACCCAAAAAGAGTGGAAACAAAATTTCCCCTTCTGCAAATTGTGGCCTTGAGCCTACGCTGCGTCGAAAAGGAGGAAAGAAAAAGGGCGATAATTACATTTCAGAGGGAATCCAGAGCGAATGATGAGGTCGAACCGGAAAAAAATAATTACGTTTTTTCGTTGGATTCCTTCACAAAGTTATTCGATGAAGTTCGGGCGAATTTTAATTGTGACGATATGAAACTCGTTTTCCCAACGAAGTTGATTACTTTTCAACGGATATCAGCCTAAATGGGGATATATTAAGGGGAAAATTGCCTCAGACTAGGGTTTCTTTTAATTTGATTTTAATCCAACGATGTAGTTATACACGTGCCTGTAGAGTCGAGCAGATTCTATAGTAATCCAACAATCGAGTTTGATATATTTCCAATTCATTCATCATGTACGGAATATATAACAAATTCATATTTGTATGTAACAAAGAATTATAGGTTTGATTGATTACATTACTAATGGAAACATTTTGAGCATTATTCTTATTAATTATTCCGTGAGATCACCGAACTAGATTCGAAATAACGTCGCATACAATGGCGGTTCGGCATGTAAACGCGTATCCGAATGAGCCAATATTCCGTAACGTAACACCGTATTGTTCGGCTCAATGCAAGATGAGAGGAATCATTTCTGGAAGCATTTTCAGCTTTATCCTCATCAACTATTCCGTGAGATAACCGAACTAGATTCGAAATAACATCGCATTCAATGTTGGTTCGGCAAGTAAACGGGTATTTGTATGAGTCAATGTTCCGTAACGTAAGACCGTACTGTTCGGCTCAATGCGAGGTGAGACGGTTCACTTCCGTAAGCATCTTAAGCTTCATTCGTATTGAATATTCTGTGACATAACCAAACTAGGTTCGAAATAACGCCGCATACAATCGCGGTTCAGCATATAAACGCGTATCCGAACGAGCCAATGTTCCGTAACGTAACACCGTACTGTTCGTCTCAATGGGAGGTTCCGCATCTTCCAAAAGCATCTTAAGCTTCCGTCGTATTAATTATTCCGTGACATTTGTATTTATATGAGCCAATGTTCCGTAACGTAAGATCGTACAGTTCGGCTCAATGCGAGGTGAGACGGTTCACTTCCGTAAGCATCTTAAGTTTCATTTGTATTAAATATTCTGTGACATAACCGAACTAGGTTCGAAATAATGCCGCATACAATGGCGGTTCGGCATGTAATCGCGTATTCGTATGTGCCGATATTTCGTAACTTAATACCGTACTGTTCGGTTCAATGCAAGGTGAGACGGTTCAAATTCGGAAGCATTTTGAGTATTATCTTTATCAATTATTCCGTGAAATAACCGAACTGGATTCGAAATAGCGTCGCATTCAATGTTGGTTTGGTATGTAAACGGGTATCTGTATGAGCCAATGTTCCGTAACGAAACACCGTACTGTTCGGCTCGATGCAAGGTGACACGGTTTGCTTACGAAAGCATTTAGAGGTATGAAATAATTCCGCAATTCCGCATGCACCAGGCAAAGATACGCGATACATATATGCTCGTCCCGAATTGTCGCCGTGTATAACTAAGAAATGGTGTGCAGGCCTGTACGGTACGCGCCTCAAAGTGATACGGACAAAAATACAACAGTACTCCATCCCCTCCAGCTGTAACGTAACATGTTCTTGGTTACCTTACGGGCCTATTTGTTACAAATGGTCGCGCACCTTACAGGTAAGTGAATCAGTGTGATATGGATAAAAAGCAACAGTATCACGTCTCCAATAGCCATAACGTAAGGAGTTCGCGATTACGTTACGGATCGTTCATTACAAATAGATACACGCCTTAGGATTGATACAATTTTGCATGCATTCAAATTATTTTTCGTAACCTGTGTTCCACTTTGAACCTGATGTTTCAAAAATGAAGTTTTGGTATCGTCAACAGCTTCTCGAGGTGAATTATTAAAATGGTGATTCTGATTATAGGTCTCCTAGGTGGAATGATCCCTTCATCTAATATCAAGGGCATAACTGCTTGCCTGAAAACAGCAGAAATCCCAGTTGTCCAAACGGAGAAAACTCCTTTCCA